GCCTTTGATGCAACCACCGTGGTAGAAATGGGTGAGAACGGTTTGCGAACTAATGGAGATTGTAACTGTTCACAAGCATTCATTGACTGTTTTCTTGTGGCAAGCCCTGCAATATCAAGCCCTCTTCTTCCTGCAATTTGTCAATGCAGAGATTAAGAAATCTACTCTACACTATAAAGATCAATATGTTAGTTACATTTTGTTTGTAAGACTTGAAAATTACCAGTTGATAAAGCTCCATCGATCTGGCGGTGATCTGCTTTCTTGTTAGGTTTAGGAGTCTGGTGCATTCCTGCTCCTAAGGAGAGTCTTCGGTTAGTTGCACCACCGGTAGACATTCTTGGAGCCTTTTTACCACCAAGTGGTTTTGATGGGCTCGGTTTTGATCCGTAAAGCGCCTCTTGTTCTGCTATGAGCTGTCCTTGGAGCTTCTTCTGATCCTTTAATATGTGTAGCAAACAGTTGCATCATTAAGAGGATGATATTGGCCAAAAGTTTCTCATGGAAGCAAAAAAGAAAAGAAAAGAAGACTTGTATGTACCCTTTGGCGACGGTGTTCTTCCTCTCTTTCCTGCCTGAGTATGCTATACTCCTCAAGCATAGAGAGTAGACGGATCTAGACAAATTAAAAGAGAATAACAAATGGTCAGCTAAGACATAATAAATAACAGTCAACTAAAACCAATAGAGATTTTACAGAGAACTCATACACCATCATAGAGAAATTCAATCCCCTTCTCTTGTTCCCAAATAATTGTCTTCGAGGCCAGTGCTTCAACCATTCCTGAATGAATGAACATGAAAAGATACTACCTTCATAATCTACTCAGAGCATAAACATTTGTGATATATTGATAACAAAGAGTAACTTACCTGGAAGTTTGTTAACAAGATTACGAGCTTTCTCAGCACGCTTGAGAGTAAGATGAGCACCTCGTCCAGCATTGTATCGGTTATCGTCCTGTGGGATAAAAAAGTAAACGGAAACATATCAGGAAGTTTAACAGACTTTGCAACTTTAGTTAGAAAGGTTTTTAAGGTGCGGAGTCCTAACCCTGTTGTATTCTTCAAGCCAACTTTCTTCATCGCAAGCAGATAGCCACTTCTCAACCTTTTCAAGTATCTCCTTTCGGCTTAAAGCTTCCTCTTTGATCTTAGAAATGTGTTGCTCAAGATGCTCCAAGACCATTGTGGCATCTACAATACCAGATTCAATCGCCACTATAGTCTGATCTATAGCACTGTCTGACACTGGTAACATGTGGGTTTTCCTACATATGTCCTCTAGCTCTGATCTTTTCTTCAGAACAAGTTCTTTCATTTTGCTTGCCTTTACCTCGTCCAATCGAACAACTTCTGCCTCAACCTGAATATGGCAATGGAAGTCATGTTATGGTTTATAGACATGGACATCAAAAAGCTTACCTTACGTAAGTTTGGTCATAGAGTTATAGAGCAGTGTAACCATGAAAATTCCCCACAACTTACGTATTTAATGAAGTCTTCAGAGAGACTATTGGCTTCAGTTATTTCATGTTCTGATGCAGCTATATTGCAGGTAATATGCTGATACTCTTGCTGCTCTTCTAGGGGTGTATCCATCAAATTCCAAAGCTCCAACATGGTTGTTGCTAGATCTTGAAGCTTCATTAAATTCAATAGGCAACTATGAGTAACAACATCAAAGAATTTTTTTTGACATAACTCGCTAAAGTATTTATCAATTACCTTCTGCATTCTCTGTATCTTAACCTCCCTCAGGTTTTGAACTGCAGCCCCCAGTTTCTCGATTGTATGATCGCTTAAGCTTCTTGGTCCTTCTGGATCACTTAATGTGGGATTCACTTGGCCAATAACCTCATTGAAGTCCATTCCAAGTACAGAGCAGTGGGAATACAAAGTACACAGGTGCTTCCGAATCATCTCCACACGATCACTCTGAGGGAAAAACACCACCAAGAGTAAACAAACAAAATGGCCAGACAAACCAAACAAAAACAAGAAGCCAAGTTGAAATTTAACGAAAGAAAAAGAAGAAGCCAAGTTATAATCAAATTTCACCTTTTCCTTTTGAAGTGCTTTTAGCTGGCAATGTAACTCTTCAAGCTTTCTCATAGACAAGTCAGCCTCATTGATGAGTGGTTTGGAAGGAAAATGTTCTCCTTGGCCTTTAATTTCATTAGTAATTCTATCTATTTCTTCGAGGACAACTAAGAACTGGTTTCTTCTTTCGATTTTCCTCTTTTGCATTTCTTCCAGTTCAGGAAGAATCGTCCCAAGCTCTTGTTTCAAGCTCCCAACGCTCTGATCAGACTGAGACATACAAAAGAAAAGTTCAATGTTTGAAAAAAAACGCAACTAAGCATGGACTAAGTTTCTGCAACAAGAAGAAAAAGCATTGAACTGACCTGTCTAATATGCACAGGACGTTCTCCCATAGCAGAACAGATAGCAGCAAGTTCTGCTTCAGCATCGGCAATTGCTTGTCTTAGCTGAGCTCGACATCGATTAGCTTGGTCAACTTTTCTTCTGTATACTTCCAAGCATTCACGTTCAAGCTCAAGCAACATCTTATCTCTATCAGTTTCTGTTTCTCCAACTTCATCCCAAATTATCTGATTTCAGAACAAACAAACAAAATAAGATATCACCACATAACAACATGTAGGGCAAAATTTGAAGATAGAGATGATATGAAAGACTCTTTTATGTCTCCCACCTGGAGTTCGTAAAGGAGGGATCCACATGTTGTCTCTACTTGAAGAATCGGATCTTTTTGTATACTCGCCATTTCGAAATGCTTCTGCCTGTTGAGAAAAAAAAAGGAACCCTAACTATGTCATTCTCAAAATTAGCGATGGAGGAAACTGGAGATTCGCTAGTGAATCGACTAATTGTACAAGACGTCTCTCGCAATCAGCTAATTGAAGAAAACAAGCAGTTTAATTCCGAATCAAACACCGAATTGATTGAAACCAAACTACGCATAATTGATTTCAGATTCCCGAAGCAAACGAATTAAGAGGAACCTACAGGGAAGAAAACACTTGCCTGAAACGGGAGATATCTCCAAGACTTCCAGAACTGATAAATTGAAAGTATGATTCGAGTACAATAGGAAGAAGATGAGAAAAACTCAGAAAATTTCGAGTTTGAAACCTAGATCGAAGTTTCTGT